GTGGATTCTAAATTTGGAAAATTGAAAGTTTCAAGTGTACAAATTTCAAAATTTGAGGATTCCAAATGTGTAAACTTCAAAATTTGAAGTTTGCAAAATTTAGAATTTCAGAATTTCAACCGAAGGTAAGTCCACAAATTCCCCTCTCCGTTGTCTCCTATTACTATCATTCTTCGAACGTTTAGATTCGAATAATTGAACGGCTCATCGACTCTAATCACTAATGATACTCTTCAAAATATTCTAGCCATTTGCATCGAAGATAAAAACCAATGCAAGATCATTTTCCTCTGACAAATCAGCTTAGTTGAAAGAAATTCCAGCTTATCGAAGTATGGAACGTCGTAATATCGCCGGTGAATCGATATGACGTCGCTCGTCTATTATTCCTAACGAGATAATATTCGCAAAAAATGATTGTATCGAGCTGGCAGCCTCGCCTTGCAACACCGTGATACCAGCCAGCGTGGCCGAATATGCTAATGGACTTTGTAAAACAAGCCTGGGTCATTTACAATCCCGTTAATGAACCGCACTAATGTCCATGGTGGATTGCGTTGGTTCTGCATCTACTTTACATTTAATGAGGGGTAGAAGAGGTCTTCGATATACTCCAGAGGCGAAGACGTTACGCGAGTTCATCTTCAGGGGATGAAAAACGTTATCGATACCTCGATGGTAAGGGTGTTTCAAGCGATTGAGCATCAGAACAATTAATTAGCAGGGGAAAATTATGGGACGGCATATTGCAATATTAAACAATGAAAATTGTGGAATGCAATATTCTAATATTAAACAATATTCTCTTCTTTAGGATATTTTTTTAATTTTATAAATACTATATTCCTCTCCTTAATATATTTCTTAATTTTCCAAATGTTGAATTCTGCTGTCTAGAATATTTATCAATATTAAATTCCCTTTTCTTAGGATATTTATCAATTTTCTAAATATTATATTCCCCTTTCTTAGGATATATTTAATTTTCAAAATATTATATTCCCCTTTCTAGGAATACTTTTCAATTTTCTAAGTATCATATTCTCCTCTTTAAGATATTTTTTAATTTTGTAAGCACTATATTCCTCTCCTTAATATATTTCTCAATTTTCCAAATGTTACACTTTCAATTTCAGAATTATTCCAAACATCAACATTCCGCAAAATACATTTTTCAACGGTTGTATGATAATTTTAAGGACACGAATTATCGGTTCTTACCCGAATCCTTGGAACTCTGGACCCATGTACGACAGCAGATCATTCTGAAAGTCTGGCTTGATGACCACTCCGTCGACACTTGGGCCGAAAGCGCTCAAGAAGGTCGGAGGTTGTATATCGACCTGCATCAGCTCCTCGAGACTACGTTCTCGAAGACAGTCGACGATCAGCTCGTTGTCCTTGAGCAAATCCTCAGGGACCGAGCAGTTGACAGCTTTGGCGAGTTTCAGTGCGTAGGAAACAGGATCCTCGACCACTGCCCAAGATGATAACGCACTACCCGATAATAGGATGGCCCTTTTGAAGAGACCTGAGCAGAGCAAGCGTTCAGTATGTTAATTTGATGGTGAAACAGTATACAAAATTATTCAAAGAACACACGAAATGCAAATTTTCATATGGTAAAAAGAGAACAAATATTATTAATACTGCTACTTTGAAAATTCTAAACGTTATTAGGTTGGTGCATGTGAAACATAATTGTTTGAAATGAAACTTTAGATACGTTGTGTTTTTTCAAAAAGTAATGTATTTAATCGATATAATTTCCACACGATTCTATACACTTTTCCCAACGATTAACTAGATTCATTATTCCAAATTTATAATATACTAATGTTAATAATATTAATGTCTTTGAATGTTACTTTTGCAGTGTCCTCATTTCGAAATATTATAATTAAATTGTTAACAAAATTGAACTTTATTTGTAGTCTGTTGGGGAAAAGTCGAGTGAATAGAGGAGAATGTGGCAAAATTTCATATTTTTTATCGTGGATTATTTCAATAATTTTTTTTTAAAGCGTTATCATCGACGACCCTTTTTGGTTTATTTTCCAAGGAAAAGTCTGCAATCTTGAGCTTTGCACACTAACGTTGAAGTGTCTTAGTTTTTCCATAACCTTCTTCAAATGCTTGTACATTTTCAGCAGTTTTTACTGCAGCTTTTCCGAGTTTAAACTTATGTCAAAAATGCCGCGAATATCCTGATTATTCACACATCAGATTGTTAAGGCTTCGTTAGAACTAGTTTATGATACGGTCGCCTGTAGACGCTATTTTTGAAAAGGCAAGGTTTTACCCGTACCTGAATAGGTGGTACGTGACCTTAGCATTAGCTAAATTAATTTTCTGTCTCTCTCAATACCAATTACCGTGTCATAAACTTTAAGGAACCCAAGAGTCGGACGGCCACGGTGACCCGATCAACGGTACCGCGCTGACGTCACCTTGGGCCTATCCCCGTAGGGGTGAGAAGTCGCTCATCACCCCCGCTCCGAATCCTTCCCGCTACCTTTCCACAAATTCCATCCACCAATTGAATATTCGCATTTTTGTCACCCCGTTTTCCACTTCCATTCCCCTGTCAACCAATCAGTGCCATCACCGATACCTTAAAAACCACGCGTAAACGTGTCTTAGAATAGTTCAGAATAGTCAATAGTAAAGGGAACACAATTGCTAAGAATAATAGAAGAAGAGTTATTATAATTTACATAGTCTCTTATATTTGTAAGAGTGGTCCTTCGAGAAAAACAGATTGAACTCTAGTCGGCACACCACGTGCAATCTCTACAAAGCTCGATAGGTATCTCATTGAGATCCGACCACGAGCGTTAACACAGATAATAATGTTCGAACAATTGTATTATGATTGTTTTTACTACTCAATACATCTGTACCACAGAAAATTCTTTATTCTCGACAATTGTGTATAAAAATTTATTTAAATTCCACTTGTTGAACAACATTTCATTTGCACCAACCCAATATTTGAAGGATTCCTTAATGAAATTTTGTTGCTTTAAAATTGATTCATAATTCTACAATTGTGGACTCAAATTAATGTGAATTTCGAGAACAGCCAAGTGTTTATCACTCAACTAACGAGTAGAAATTCTGTTTGCAGATGATTTGTATAAACGTAGCATTCGTTTCGATTCTTCTCTGTTTCCAGCGTCCAATCAAGAGAAGTATGAAAATAATCGAAGAAATCCCACTTCTTCCCGCCAGTCGAGGGATACATTAAACGAACTCCTTTTAACCGCTATATCTATATAAAAGAGACTTCCGATAAACGTGGACAGTTTCGAAGGAAAGCTGGCTTCTGTCTTTGCCAAGAGAAACAACGACGATTTTCCAGCCGTCTACCACTCGAAAGTCTACGCCAAGAGAAATTGAGTTGTCGAGAGGAATAGCTTCGATTTCTCTGTATGGATTCGAATATTCCGACCGGGAAACGTTTCGAAAATATCGGCGGAGAAATCGGAGAAATTTAACGAGTTCTGGAAACTTCAAGTTGGTACACTTGAGTCAAGCAATATTGCATTTTTTCTCAAATATTTCAGATATTCGATTTTCTTAATATTAATTATTCTCGTTTCTCCTTTAAATTCTAATATCGGGGAATCTCCGATCTTCGAAATATTTCCAAGATTTCTGCTCGTCATAGTAAAAGTTTCCGCGCCGTTGTTCAGGTGTCTCCCGAAACTACCAGAAAGAAACTTCCATCAGACTTAATTAATCAGTTTCTGTATCGAACGGCGAAAGTTTTCGGAACAACGACGACGAAGTATCGAACGCAAAATTTCGGAACGTGTGCATTTTCATGTTGATAACACGAAAACTTGCAGATTAATTCCTTTAAACTAATTAACGTTCGAGGAAACTCCTGGTTCCTCGCGACAACGATAATAATACGGCGATAATAATTCGTCAAGTATTATCTTGCAGTACTTCAGCGCGAAGGATAAATTTCGAAGAAATTTTTCTCGGAAGAATTCAATACTTTTTGCACAAACTTTTCTCCGAAAAATTAAATATTTTTTGTAGAAATTTTTTTCAACTTTTCTAAATGGTAAATTTTAAACGGTATTTAAATTCGAATAGAATAATTACAGATGCAAAAAAAAAAGGAAGTGTGTTTTTCGATAACGACGTTCGAAGGGTGGAATTTCAAAGATGGAATAGAGTATAAATTACGATGAATATCTTCGCGTGGTTTTCTCCACGCGAGGTTCGACGTTAAGCAGGAAAAACGCGGTAGGACCCACGACAAAGAAGAAGGAAATTACACCAGAAGGAACGATATCGAACGAATAACAAGCACGCCGGTTGCGCTTTTGAGACGATTGTCACGTAGCGAGGATAATCGAGCGACCATTCTATCCTTGTCCTTCCTGTTTCGAGCGCGAGAAACTTGAGAAAATTTTCAAAGTGAATGCATCGTTCTGACGAGGGAGGATCCAGTCCAATGTATAATGCATTGTATGGAGGTGATGGTGACACTGATTATGTCGTTGCCAGTAAACGTTACCGTGTCCCGCATGTTTTCTCATAATTCTTTTGTGGGCTCGCATGAACCGAACCTTGGGATAGTTTTTTCTTAATCGCTAATTTTTCTGAAATAAGATCCTGATGGTACGTCGAGAATAAAATGATGTTAACTTATATTATAGGGAAATATTATTGTTGAAGTAAGTTCCTCAGCGACTTTGGTGTCCAATTAGGAAGATACACTACCTTGAGGCTTGTAACAATGAGCAAAAGTTTGGTCATTTTTTTTACAGGTAATTACGAAATGGAAAGTTTCAATTTTTTTAAAGAATGTAAATGTAACTTTCAGCTTCTTTCTCCAATTTTTGGAGAGCAGAAATGTTACAAAATGGAGGAGTTATTGCGAAACATTTTCTGCTATAAGATCGAATGCTGACCGCCATTGTCAACAAAGATTGAAACGTTTGAAATAAAGAATTTTTTTAATTTATAAACAAAAATGTATTACCTACAATACAGCTTACGCCTATTTCGATATGTGCATTATTCAATTTTTTAGAAACGTTAA